CAGCAGATTAGGCATACACAATTATTCCTGCATTGTGTCTTTGTCATGTCTTAGGTCCACTGAAATCAGGCTCCATCATGACAGCTCATCAGTTTTTCCAATGATGAGCCTGTTTGTTTTGTGACAATGAGAAGCTTTTAATTCCCTCCGTCCGGTCACCTGATCTCCCACACTGCCACACTATCTTCTTACTGAACTTTGTCCCCCGTTGACCCCCCCTTCTTCTGTACCACTACACACACCTCACCCCTTGTCATCTCTCATCCCGGGACCAATGCAATACATTTCTATTACCTGTAATACTGAAGTGATCTGTTAATGTGTACATACTCACAGAATACTGCTTTGCTATTCATTTGCACACTGTACTCTAATCTAATCTAATACAATATTAGATCATGTATAACCTGTAATTCTTACATTCTGTCCTGTCCTTGTAAAATGATTTATATTGTAAAAACAGCAATAAAATAGTGAATCTGACTGAATGAACATAACATGATGTTTATTCATCAATTTAGTAAAACATCTTGCCTAATCTCTACTGTCGGGGCTGTGCTCTCATATCTTGCATATCTTGATTTTGTGCTTACAAATCTGTCTGCGCTCTCAAATGCTAAGTTACAAACTGAGAAGTGCTCAAAATGTAGTTAGAGCGACCTCAAACATCATCTATTTCCATGCATGTCTTTGCACTGTGGGAGGAAGCCGGAGCACCCGGAGAGAACCCACGCAAACACAGGGAGAACACACAAACGCCACACAGAGAGGCACTGGGGCAGGCAGGGCTCTGACCCAGAACCTTCTTGCTGTGAGGCGACAGTACTAACCACCACTCCACCATGCTGCCCACTTTTAGCATAGCATGCAGCCACAGATTTGGAAGTGGAAAAACAGATATAAGAGCACAGCCCCGTATGTATGTAACAAATGAAAAATTAATGGATAAATGGTAGGGCCCTGTAGCCTTGGAAGTTTGCTTGAGGAGCCCAGTTTTCCTAAACAAACACACCTCGCTCTTGCCAGGCTATTTGAGTGGCCCAGCAGTCCTTATTGAAGACAGCAGGGATTGAATCATTCTCCCTTTCAGTCCAGGCTACAGCTTCATCCTTATAACCACTGTAAAATGACCCGTGCTCTTGCAAGTCTACTTGAGTGGCCCAACAGTTCTTATTGAACACACCAGGGATTGGATCATTCTCTCTTTCAGTCCAGGCTACAGCTTCGTCCTTATAACCACTGTAAAAGGACCCGCGCTCTTGCCAGGCTATTTGAGTGGCCCAACAGTTCTTATTGAACACA